GGAAGTCAACAACGACCTATTTGGGAGACCGTATAGGACTGTTATGGCAACAATCAAGACGCAGTCACGGCAGCAGCCCACCTGCCCAACGCAGCTAGGAGAAATCGTCTCGGTGCTGTTTCCCAAGCGACCAGCGTACGACTACCCGGTGCCGCGGAACGAGAGTGACGTAGTCCCTCCGATTACCCAAGACTAATTACTCCGAGCTACCAGAAGAGTGGGCAACACTAAGGCGCCAGGGTTGGACAACATCCCCAACACTGCCCTAAAGGCAGCCATTGAAACTGCCCCGGAACTGTTCCTGGAGATGTATAACGCGTGCCTCTCTGAGGGAGTATTTCCGGCACAGTGGAAACGACAGCGTCTCGTGCTGCTCCCCAAAGGTAACAAACCGCCGGAGGAAGCCTCGTCGTATCGACCTTTATGTATGCTAGACACAACAGGAAAGATCTTCGAGAGGATTATCTCCAACCGAATCGATACCTCTGTCGGACACCGCCTCTCGGAAAACAAATACGGTTTTCCGAGGGGCATGTCAACCATCGAAGCCATTGGTCGCGTGGTAGCTACAGCGAAAGATGCAATCTCTGGAGTGCGCTTGACCCGTGGAGCCAAGAAATACATTCAACTCAGCCAGATGAGATAGTATATGCAAGGCACTAGATCACCTGGGAACGCCAGCCTACCTGAGAGCGATGATTAAGAGCTATTTCTGCGGTAGGCGCTTGATGTACGATACCGAGAATGGGCCTGAGTATTACGAAGTCTCTGGAGGAGTTCCACAAATCTCGGTCCTGGGGCCGCTGCTGTGGAACCTGATGTATGACGCGCTGCTGAAGACCCAGCTACCGCAGGGAGCAGAGATGGTGGCGTTTGCTGACGACGTAGGACTGGTCATTACAGCTAAGACTCTTGAAGAGGTAAGCTGCGCCTTTGGGGAGACATAAAAAATCGTAGGAGAGTGGATACAGTCGGTCGGTCTGGAGCTTGCGCACCATAAAACCGAGGCCGTACTCTTCACGAGTCGAAAGAAGGTCGAAACCATTACCCTGGACGTCGGCGATTGTGAAATCACATCGCAACCCTATATCAGGTACCTCGGAGTGATACTAGATGCAAGGCTCAGCTTAAGGCAGCATATGGAGAGCGTGGCTGTTAAGGGTGCAAAAATCGGCACGGCGCTAGCACGACTTATGCCGAATATCGGAGGGCCCAAGCAGGCAAGAAGAACACTGCTCGCAACAGTTACAACGTCGATACTGTTGTACGCTACGCCGATCTGGCACGAGGCACTCAAGGTTGCTTCATACCGAAGAGAAATGGTGTCAGTATACCGCAGAACTCTTTTGAGAGTTGCTGCCGGGTACCGCACCATATCGTACGAAGCAGGGTGTGTAGTGGCAGGCATGCCACCGGTGGAAATCCTCTTGAACGAGCCAAGCAGGATTTACACCCAAAGACGGCGGACTTCACTTGACAAGGAGAACATTGCCAAGGAGGAAAAGGCAGCGTCACTACTACAATGGCAGCAGCGCTGGGACGAGTCACCCAAAGGCAGATGGACACACCGGCTGATTCCATCGCTTGAGGCGTGGGTGAAACGCAACTATGGGGAGGTAGGCTTCTATCTTACCCAGCTCCTAACGAACTATGGCTGCTTCCGGAAATATCTCCACAGTTTTAAGCTGGACGACAGTGAGGACTGCCTGGCATGCAACGTGGCCGAAAACGCGGAGCATGTATTTTTCGTGTGCCCACGTTTCAACAACGAGCGTGACCAACTTCAGGAGCACCTCAAAGAAAGGGTCACCCCAAATAACGTTGTGAATCTCATGCTCAATACAGTAGACTCATGAAACAGCATCGAGGACTTTGCAACAGTTGTCTTGAAGAAGAATAAGAGAATATGAAGAAGAATTTGCAAGAATAAAACCTTGGCGCGGCCGTAGCCGATTCCTTGCCCCTCGAAGTAATGCCTGACGGCGGTCCCGAGGGGTAACACAATGCAGTGACCAAGGGAGGTTGTTTTAGTGGGTAAAAATCCCACACTCCTAGGTAACGCGGGTTTCCTAGGGTCTTATCGTTGAAGATTTCCACCTACCCACGGGAAAAAAAAAACTTCAATGCTAGCCTGCATGAGACCGAGCAATAGCTGGTGACCCCGCCTCCTCGTGGCCTCCACTGGACAACTGGCTAAGTGGGTCACTTCCCAAGTTTGGGACGGTCTATCTCCCTGATGACCCAGAAATGGTAAAGGGGGGTTTTTCCAAACCTAATGGTCATAACATCTACGGTCATTATTTTCTTCACAATGGTTTTACGCATTAAACATCACGTGTAATAGGCTCATGCCTAAGGCACAGCTGAGCGAGCGCAAGCTCGATGCATGCTCAGAGATATACATTAGACTCCTCCGCATTCTCCGCTCCGCGGATCTCGTCGAGCTCGCTACCACGGCAGATAGCCTAATGAAGCACGCGCCACGCGACATTTGTGTCGTTCGGCAGGCACCCTCCAGCTAGTTGCTGGCCGCTGGTACTAAACCAGCAATTACCTCGCAGGAGTCCGGTGCACTGCTGGATCAGGTCGCTGCAGAGCTGGCTGCCATGCGCTCCAAGTTGTCACGACTAACAGTTGCGATCAATCGCTCTATTGATCAGCAGCAGGAGATCCTGGCTGCATTTAGTCGGGTCAAGATATCCTGTTCGTCGTCGCCCCCGCGACGCCTTTTAATCGCGCCGCGTTCACCTTTGTCGAGACCCTTACCTTCGGCGAGACCTCCACCGACGGTGAGAGCTCTCGCTACATCGCACCGGTGGTGCCTCTATTACAAACAGTATCGTAGTCGGGGGGCTAACTGCAAACCCGACTGCAGTTATCAGGAGGACAATAATAAAAAAAAACATATTTCGCTACCGCACAAGTCGGCGGTAGTCGGTGGCTCATTTTCGTCCATTTCGGACTACCGCCTTCATGTCTTCGAGAGCTCGTTGCAGCATTCCATGCTGGTCGACTGCGGCTCGGTGGTTTCGCTCCTACCTCGCCGTTTTCGAACTTCGTCTGAGCGCTGCTAACGGCACCCCCATCCGCACTTTCGGTCGCCACCTGCTGACACTCTCGCTTGGTCTTCCGCGAGAGTTTCAGTAGATGTTTGTGGTGGCCGACGTGCCAGAGCCCATCCTAGGGGTAGACTTCTTTAATCTTTCCGGCCTCTTGGTGGACATTCGTGGCCAACGCCTTGTCGATCCTACATCGGCTCGGGAATCGGCCTTGCATTTACGGTAGGTTGCCGTCCACGGGGTAGCTTCCGTCGCAGCTTCGTCAGATTTACGCCATCGAGTCGCCTACGACTCGTTGCTCGCCAAGTTTGCCGACCTCGCTCTGCCTTCAAAATCCGGGGCTGTGCTTCAGGGCTGCAATGTGGTGCATCGCATTGTTACAGCTGGACCGCCCGTTGTGGAACGTCCGCGTCGCCGTCCGTTCGTCCGCGGCGAACGCTTAACCGCGGCTACGTCCACGTTCGACCGCCTGCTTCAGCAAGGAGTTATTCGGCCATCTTCTAGCCCATGGGCCAGCCCACTTCACCTCGTGGCAAAAGGCACAGGCAGCTTCCGAGCGACAGGCGACTATCGTCGTTTAAACGCCATCACTGGATCGTTATCCTCTCCCCGTCATCGAAGACTTGCTCGAGGATGGCTACGGTAACTCGGTCTTCTCGGTCATTGACTATCAGGAGGCCTACTTCCAGATTCTGATAGCTGAATCCGACGTCGAGAAAACAGCTGCGACTACGCCTTTTGGCTTGTTTGAGTTCCTTCGAATGCTGCTCGGCCTTTGCTACTCCTCTCAGAAATTCCAGCGGTTTATGGACTCGTTGCTTCGAGATCTTCCATTCGTCCGCTGCTATATCGACGACCTTTGCGTGCGGTCCTCTTCGCACGAGGAGCACCTTCACCATTTTCGGGTTTTCTTCTCTCGTTTGCGGGAGGCCGGACTTGCGTTCAAGGTCAATAAAATTCAGCTCGGACTTCCTAGTGTTGTCTTCTTGGGATATCGGATCTCTTCGAGTGGCATTCGTCCTCCGGAGCGTAAGGTCCTCGCAATTCAAAACTTTCAGAAACCCGCTATGCCAAGGAGCTTGCGGTTTTTTTTGGGTATGCTTAATTTTTTCAGACAGAGCTTGCCGCATGCCGCTCATACCTAGGCACTGCTCAACCAGCTCCTTCGTGGTCTTCCCATCAGCAGCCGTCGACCGCTCATCTGGAACGATGCAGCTCACCGCGCCTTCGCCAACGGAGACAGCCTTCCTTTCACCGTCCGCCCCGCTTCGTCTTGCTACCGACGCCTCCAATTCGGCTGTCGGCGCTGCGTTACTGCGGCTCGTCGACGAAGAATAGCGGCCCATCGGCTTCTTCTCTCAAACGCTGTCTTCAACGCTGGCTCGCTACAGCACCTACGATCAGGAACTCCTGGTTGTCTTTCTGGCGGTGCATCACTTTAGGCGAATCCTGGAGGGACGTCTGTTCACGGTGGTGACGAATCATCGGCCGCTCATCTATGCAGCTCGCCAACCCTTTTTTTTTTTTTTTCGACAGGAGTAAAAATCTTCCAAAGACCCCCTGGGCCCRGTACCCARRGGAGTGTCGGWTTCGATGTACTACTACATCGCCTACCGACTAAAAAACCTCCTGTTTCCTTTCACCAGTTGGGAGTGGACGGGCAGCATCTCCACGCAAGTGGATTTCCGTCGCCCTGTGTCCACCCCGAGCAATCTGGGGCGGTATTTCCCCGATCTCGTCCATTGATACTAGCGCGGATAAGGCGCTAGTATGCCAGTGTTCCTCGATATATGTCACCCCTCAATGGAGATTAACCCCAGAGTAGTGACTTTTCTCTGCCAGGATGACTAGCTTTGTTACCCGCCTAACGGCGCAGTTACAACTCTAGTCCTGACGCCATGCACATATTGTGCTCATTCTTCATATAATTACAGCAGCGCACTAGGATGGGCCAGACGCTGCTGGGGTTGGCCGAAGCCTCGCCCGTGGCGGCCGCATTGGAGTCATACTCCTTTGCGGCCCCTCGCGAGCCCTCCCAGGCACTCTGCGCCTTTCTCTTCTTCTCTCTTCTTCCAACTTCGTCTTTATGACGCGTTCAGCGAAGGATTGGAAGGCGGACCACCCTCCCGGAGTATCCAGAGAAGCCCTGATTATTTCAGGGAGTGTGGGCCTTCCCGCTCCTATTGCAGCAGCCAGATTGTCTCTGGCGTCAACCCATGCCGGGCAGTCGAGCAGCGTGTGCTCCACATCGTCGCACGGTGCCTCGCAGTGGAAGCACTGCGTGGATTCTCTTTTCCCGATCCTGTGTACGTATGCCGAGAAGCATCCATGACCGGTCATCAGCTGGGTGGTGCGGAAGGTCGACTCAATAGAGTGTGGCCTCTCGACCCACTCAACCAACCTACCGGCCAGAGCCTCCCTCACACGTACTCCCGTTGCGACTGGGGAATCCAGTAGCCCAAGCTCTTCTTCCCTCCATGCTGCGATTGCACCGCGCCTGGCAAGAACCCCCAGCCTGGCCCTAGTGCCTGGAAGGACTAGTCCCTTCAGATCCCTAAGGGCGGCATAGGCCTCCGCCAGCCGAGGGGCCAAGTGATCGAGGGGAATAATCCCCGCAACCATCATGACCGCATGGAAGGAGGCTGTCCGGTACGCACAGCACACACGGATAGCGATTCTGCGCTGCACAGCCCGAACAGCCCTCTTCACCCTTTGGTCCTCTACCACCGTGCGCCACCACACGGGAGCCCCATACAGGAGCATGGAGTGCACAACACTACTATAGAGCCTCCGTTTCTTTTCCCTCGGCCCGTAGAGGTTCGGGAGAATCTTCCGGATAGCCCTAAAGGTTCCGTCTATCCTCGGGATCAAGGACTCGAAGTGGGGCCTGAACGTCATGTCTGAGTCTAGCAAAACCCCCAAATACTTCACCCTAGATCCCACGGGGATAGAGGACCCCCTTATTCTGATCTCGGGAGGGGCAGCCCCCCTGCGTCCACGGAGGGCGGAGGCAGGGAAGGCCATCGCCTCCGTCTTCTGCGTGGCTACTACGAGACCTAATCTTTCGATCGCATCTACAATGCCCCGAAGGTCCCGCTCAGCATTTTCTATGGCCAATGACAGGTTCGGCCCCACCGACAAGAGGGCCGTGTCGTCCGCATAGAAGACCACACGGGAGCCTCCAGCCAGCGGGACACGAAGGACGCTGTCATAGGCCACGTTCCATAGCGTAGGGCCAAGGACGGACCCCTGTGGCACCCCGCATCGTACAGTCCTACTTGCGAGCCCACCGTCTCTGGTGCAAAACACCAACTTTCGGTCCCGGAATTAGCTGTGTATAACTCCTTGAATGTGTGGCGGGAGGCCCTTGCGTTCGCAAGTTCGAGAGATTCAGTTCGCTCCAAGAAACTGTTTATCCGGTTCACCAGGACCCGTTCAAACAGCTTGGCTACCTTATTGACGAGGCAAATCGGTCTATATGACCCAGGTTTATCCAGTGGCCTGTCTCTTCCCTTCTTCAGGAGGACTAGTTTGGTCTCCTTCCAGCCGGTCGGGAACAGGCCACTGTTCACGCAGGCCGAGAAACATCGCGCCAGGCCGCGGCAACAAAGTGTCGCTGCCTGTTGCACAACACAGCCCGGCACCCCATCGGGGCCAGGAGCCTTTCTTCTTGCGATCTTGGAAGCGGCAGCCGCGACCTCCTCCTCTGAGATGTTGACATCCCCAGTAGTAGTCACAGGCGGTGGGACATATTCCGGATGGTTTGGGAATAGCCCCGCCAAGACCCGCTCCAGATTTTCTTCCTCCAACATCTCTGTGACAGGCGGGGTAAAGGGCCTCAACTTGCCCATGACCATTTTGTATGGTCTACCCCATGGGTCCTCTTCAAGCAGGCCCAAGAAGTCCTGNCCCATGGGTCCTCTTCAAGCAGGCCCAAGAAGTCCTGCCACGCACTCTTTTTGGCCCTCTTAATGGCCCTGGCAAGAGCCCTTTTTGCAGCTTGCCGAGCCTCCAAGAGTTGGCCTATCTCCTGAGGGTTCTGCCTCCTCCTAGCTCTGGTAAGCCGCCTTCTCGCAGCCGTCGCAGACGCTCTAAAGTCGGCAATCTCACCTGACCACCAGGGAGCATTTCTCCTTCGGTTGAACCGAGCACCGGACCTGGACATGGCCATGTCACATGCCTGTCTCAGGGTGTCCCGAGCCCATCCAACCAGACTGGCCACACCGCTCTCATCGCCGGTGTCAGGCCAGACCAGATTCCCAGTTAGGAGCGCCGCGGACAGCTTGTCCTGATCCAGAGTTCCGACGGCCCAGCGAGGGAGCTTTCTCCCGCGTAGGTGCAGACCTCCGGACCCCACGGGCCCCTGACCATAGAGGAAGGTGATATATGAGTGGTCCGATAGGGACTCAGCTTCATCCACCTTCCAGTCCGAAATCCGGGCGCCAGCAGCGGCTGAGCCCAGCGTTAGGTCGATTACACTCGACCCGAAAAATCTAACGCATGTGGGGTGGCCAACTCTATTTAAGAGCCGAAGGTTTTGCCCATTAGCCCAGTCATAGAGTAGGGCACCCCTACGGTTACCCCTGCCATCTGGATCCCAGAAACGAGCCCGGGCGTTAAAGTCCCTGGCCAGCAGTACTGGGAGGGCAGGGTAATCCGCAATAAGTGCCTGGAGCTCGTCAAGGAGCCCCTCGAATAAGGCAACATCCCCGCTAGGTGGGAAGTACACTGATATTACCAGTGTGTCCCCCCACCTGACAGCGACGTAGAAAGAACCCTGTCGCACCAGGCTACATGTCCTTCCACTTCGGCCCACAATAATTGCGGAGAGCGGGTCACCACCCAGAGACGGAAACCAACTTCCATCTCCCTCGGGGACCCACCACGGCTCCGATATAATCGCGATGCCGGCCTCAAGCTTCACCATGCGTTGCGCAAGGAGATCCTGAGCCCGACGCGCATGATTTAGGTTAATTTGTATAACCTTCTCCATCGTTTCCAGGGTTGGTTTCTACAACCGTTGGCTTTTCGGGGCCCTCTTTCCCCTTGCCGCCCTCATTGAGTGCAGCGGTGTCGGGAGCGAGAGCCTCCATTTCCACCTCTTCCAGCGTTTTCGTTAAACCACTGGGCCCACTATTACCTTTAGGCGCATCGGCCTTTGGGGAGGACTCTGCCCTTTCTTCCCTCCTAGGAGGAACAATCGGACAGTCCAACGAGCCAGCCTGGTGGTTTGTCCGAGGGCGTCCCGCGGACGAGCATACCGGGCAGCATGGCTTTTTCTCCTTGCACTCTCTGGCCTTGTGCCCCGGCTTGCCACATACAAAGCACAGGCCCTCTCTGCTAGTTGTCGATGGGCAGGAGGTCACTACATGACCTCTGGCTCAACACTTAAAACACTTTAGTTGCCTTTGTTTCAGTTCCCTTACGCGAACTGTCGACAACCCGACCACTAGTTTCCCCTTCTTAAGTGCCGCATGGACCATGGCAACGGGAACGGAGACAGTTACTTCTCCAGCCCTTCCACGGCTCACGCGGATCTCTCCAACTTTGATGGAGTTCGGGTCTATGCCCGACTTCACCTCCAACAAAGCACATCTAATTGACGTGCTTGTTGCAGCCACATCTAAACCGACGAGCCGCACGTCAATCATTCGTTGAGGTCTCGCGACTTTGACCTCAGGGAGGACCCTCTTAAGAGCCTCCGCGACACCGTCTGCCTTTTTGGCAGCATCAGCTCCCCGTATCTGCCAGATCAGGGAACCCGACAGACCTCTCCTATACCTCATGTCTGTCACTCCGAGCTCCTTCAGATTTATTTTCTCCGTCGCTCGGAGGACAGCATCCCGGTAGAAGATCTGACCTGGACACGTAAGGGAGATGACCGCTGACCGCTCCCTTCCCTTGTCCCACTTCTTCTTCGGATTTACTTTATCCGTAGGAGCATTTTTAGCTCTTTTTTTTGCGCTGGTCCCCTTTGAAGGAGCCCTTTTGGTGCTGGGGACAGTGCCGTGGTAGGACTCCGGTTTGGAGAGCCTTGCCACGGCCCTGCGCTTCTTCCTGCCGAGCACCACCGTAAAACTTGCGTCCTCCTTGGACGCTGGTTCCTAGGTATCCCTAGGTGTAATCCGTGGGGTCGGGCACGGAGCCTTGCTCGCGCCCGGTGCGGACACCGGCCGTGGAGCAGCCCCTATTCCCGACCCGGGTGCGCTGCCCGTCCCCAGCCCAAAGCTGAACTTTACCGCAGCTGGAGCCGCAGGCATAGTCGCAGCCGGAGCCGGAGCCGCAGGCATAGTCGCAGCCGGAGCCGGAGCCGGCACCTCCCTCCTTGATCGCTGTAATTCAGCGACCGTTTTTGCAAGAGCTCGCACCTCCACGAGCACCTTTTCGTTGATGTTACCTTCGCTCTGAGCCCCAGAAGGAGCGGGCAGAGCGCACTTCTTAGGCTTTTGGCCTCGCTCTAGAGTCTTTATCTTCTCTAGAGCAGCCTCATGGCGGGCTTCCAGCTCCCTCAACTCCCTTCTTAGGAACTGGATCGCCTCGCTCTCGGAGGGCTTCTTGTCCCCTTGAAGGAGACGCCGCTTTATTTCGGTCACCAGGCTCAGGGCCCCCCTAAGGCTGCCCTTTATACGCCCAGAGACCTCTCCCTTAATGTTCCTTGACCTCCTTCTTTCCTCCTCTTCCGCGGAGATCAAGTTTCTTGCTTTCTCGGCAAGTCGTCCCGACTCTATTAGCCGCACCGACGTCGCCGAGCACACTTCATTTCCCACCGGTGTCACTTTCACTGGTGTCAATGTCACTGTCACTGGTTTCATTCTCACTGGTGTCACCATGCATGATTTTTCTTCTTTTAAAGATCCCGGTACTGGGTCCTCTTCTTCGTCCGACGAGATGATCGGACGTCTTCTTTTCCTGCCTTGAGTGGAGCCAACTGAGAAAGTCCCACTTAGGTTAAGCTTCTTGATGGCGCGGGCAGCCTTCTGCCATTCTTCTAGTTCCACGCCATCGTCGTTATTCAACTTTCTTGTAGCTTTGCTGTCACTGCAGGCCAGGTTACTCACCTGCAGAGACCTTTCCGTCGCCTTTTCCAGAGTCGAGGCCGGGTTGCCTGCCTCAGGCTCATGACAGTCGCTGGTTGTCGACGACCGGGGACCTATCAGACCACCCCCTGAAGCCGCCGTGGATCGGGTATCCCTCCCGCTCCGTTCGCTACTTCTAGTAGTTGTACTTTCCATAGTTTATTTAAATGTGGAGACAAGCTCCTTTTTAGTGAGGAAAGGAGGAGGGGTTGAGCGATTAAGAGGAGAGGAACAAGGGTTTAGGATCATGCTTAACTCAGCAAAAGGAGTAAGTGTTAGGCATGCCTAGCGAAGGCAAGGGCGGAACCTTGAGTCAGAGCAATGTCCTGTCAGGACCACAGGACAATGATGACCGCTACCTTGGTCTACTCTTGGTCAGTGCTCCCCACCAGTGTGAAGAAGTAATCCCTCACAGAGCCTCCCCACCACGACAAGGTGGTAGACCTTCGGGGAGGAGCTCGCCAACCCTCAGATAAGGCCTCTTCCCGACAACAACGGCAGCTGGACTTTCTGCTTGCAGAGCTTCTCGCCAGGACGGTGCTGACACCTTCCTTCACACCGGCACCAACCTACACAGAAGTCCCTAGCAGCCGCCGGGAGTGCGCGCATCCGGTGGTGGCAACATCTGTCCGGCCACGTAGCCGGTCCAGGAAGTGGCAGCACCTGATTGGCCGAAGCATGTGGCGTGATTGTGACCTGAGGTTTCGATTGGCGTGATCTCGGCGCGTCTGCCTCCGCGCCCCGATGATCTAGGATTCAGAGGAAGTTGAATCGATATCGATCATTATCGTGCGGTTAGTTGAATCATACAGTCGACACTTTTGCTTTCTTACGTGATTAATTATCATTATCTTTCTGTTCTCAATTTTGTGTCTTTCGTTTCGTGTGCTTTTTTCTCTATTCATCGTCAAATTTGTTCTGTGAAGTCAGTAGTGACAAAAAAGGAATTTTTCCCAGGTCATTGTCCGGCGTTGGTGATTGGTCAATTCAGTGGTCAGTAACTAGCCACGCGGCGCCGCCTCTGGACAAATTTCCACAGATATATTAACTCTCCAGGAACCCATTACGCATCAAAATAGAATTGTAGGAATGGGAATATGCACTAAAGTTATAACTGATCCTAAAAAGTTCTCGAATGTAGTAATGACTGGTAACATTAAAGCAGTAATAGTTATTTTTAACAATAGAAATGACGTACTTAAAATCGAGCAACTAAGTAATACCCATATAGTTTGTGCCGAGGTAAGATTTTTCATTTCACCAGATTTGCATATATATTATGCTCAAGAAATCAAAACGCCCAAGATTTCATAAGATTAATCAAAAAGGTTCCACAAGAAAACACAATCCAAGTACTATTTTCAGATCAATACCCAGCTCTTAATTCAAACGAATTTAAAAATTATCTTAATAATAGAAATATAAAACAAATTTTTACAGCAATCGACGCGCCTTTTTCTAATGGTCTGAATGAAAGACTAAACCAAACGCTAATCAATAAAATACGCTGTAAACTAAACGAGAAAAAGAAGAAGTTAGCATGGGCAAATACAGCAGAAGAATGTGTAAAAAAATACAATGAAACAGACCACACGGTTACAGGATTTTCGTCAAAGTACCTCCTAAGTGGTGAATCTACTGATTTATTGCCAATAGAATTAAAGGAAAAACTTAACCACACAAAACATTTACAACAAGATAGAAAAATAGCACTTCTCAGAACAAAAAAATACCATGACTACAACAAATCTATATTTAACAAGAATAGGAAAAAATACACATTTGAAGAAGGAGATTTGGTTTAGGTACGTAGTCAATGGAAACAAATTGAATAGGAAAAAGATGGATGAAATTAGGATTGGCCCTTTCGAGATGATAGAAAAAGTCTCAGATTCGATCTATAAAATAGATATAAGGGATATAAAAACAGATCATTGGGTTTGAATCATGTCACAAAGCTTGTTCCTATCAGTGACGATATATGATAGGATGCTTAATTTATCTCCTCGAAATTAAGCAACTCCTTGACGGCGGAGATGTAAGCTTTGAGTATACATTGTACGTTTATATATCTACGGTTATACTTGAGAGGTCGACTTAACGGATGAGTGGTTTAAAAGGAGAGAGTAGAATATCAGAGCAGAAGAGATAGATAGACTAGATAGATAGAAGGATATTTTTTAAGCAGCTGATTGCGGTACACCTTTTTAAAAAGAATTTAGGAAATAATATAAAACAGTCAATATAGAGAGGCATAAACATTAAATTGTTAATTTTTTATATTTTAGGTAAGTAGGACACATATACGTTAGGGTAAGTGAATTTGTTGCGTTGTTAATAATAAAATAATAAAACTCTATATTTTAGACGAATCAATCTTGTGTTTCTGCTTCAATTTGACCTTTCCACACATTATAAATATATCTATATTTATTTAATCATTTGTTCCGTTATAAAAATATTATAAAATTATAAATAATAAAATTAACATCATTATTAATAATGCATAATATATGTGCAGCAAATGCGTAAATTAAATGTTTAAAACTCTTTATTTCATAGTCGCAGATCCATAAAATTTGATATGACGTTTACAGTTCTCATAATAATTTTTTACGCAATACTAACGAGCATTGAAAAAATGTTCAATTATTTGATACTTAGCACAGCAACAATTTGAAAAGTTAATGTTGATTTTCTCAAATAATAYTTTTAGTAAATCAAATGTATTTTTCAATATGTTTTCAAACAGATATCAATAGTTGTCTACGACTATTACACGATTTCAATAAAATTTCTTATTCATTCATTCACAAATAATTAAAAAAATTGCAAATAATAACGATAAAACTCACAGACTAACACTCACTACATATGTTTTTTTAAACTGTCCGCTCACTCGAGGAGCAAAGATGGCGGATGAGCATACTCATCTCTATAGTGCTCTAGCGCGGGTGTTATAGACTATAGTTTTATGAGAGCTAGCCATTCGATAACGGCGGACCTGTACTGTAAACAGTCGGAAGAAATAATGAGGCAGCTGCAAATTAAGCAGCTGAGATTGGTCAAGAGGGACAGATTAATCCTCCTGCAGGAGAACGCTCGACCACACGTTGCAAGATCGACGTTATTTAAACTACAGGCACTGGACCTAGAAACACTTTGTCACCTACTGTACTCACCAGATCTCGCGCAGACCAACTACCATTTTTACCGAGGTTTTGACAATTCTTTACAAGGAAACATATTTAATTCCTAACATGCGGTGGAAAATGCCTTTTGCGATTTTATCACCAGCTGCTCTCCAGATTTTTTCGCTAGAGGTGTTAATCGCTATCGTTAAAATGGCAACGTTGTATTGATAGTTTAGGTGCATATTTTGATTAATTATATTATTTTCTGCCAGAGATATAATAAACTAAACTTTCAGTCTTAAATCAGACATTTCATACTTAATGACGAATAGTTAACAAATTTATATAAAAAGTTTATTGAAATACTTCTAACTTTCGGACATCATTTTTTTGTCACATATAATTAGTTATTCACTATCGATAATTGAATGTCTATCAAATACATAGGCAGTCATAGCTTTTTTACTTTAATTAAAACATTTGGACCGATCGTTTTGAAAGTGGTTAAGTCCACTTTCTCTCGTTTTGAGATAATTAAAGATTATCATATCA